GTGAGAACATTCTTTGTATTTCTTTAAGGCATGGGCTTCCAGGAATCCCTTCAATGAGTCTACTGGAATCTTTTCCAACCAATCCCAGGGTTTCAAGTACAACAGGTATTGTTAGTGTTCCCATGAGCCCGATTTTTGAAATTTCGGCTTGAAGGTCTTTGTATTTTGATAGCTATTTGAAGATCTTCAAAGATACATTGCAGTCCGCAGGGACTGCCATATCAATAACGAGGCACTTTTTGTTTGCGGTCTCTAATAACAATGTCTGGGCGGTTAGCTTTGATTCTTCTGCCTGTGTGTATTGTGTACTCCCATAAAATTGTTATTATTATTATTATTATTAGATTATTATTATTATTTACGTATATTAAATACTAGCAGTAGAGCCCGGTGTTGCCTGGGGATATAACAGTAAGAGATAGATCAAGTATCGACCATCATGAAAACTGAAAAATAAAATTGACAAAGATTATTGTTTAAGGTTGACGGACACGCATGTCTTAATTTTTTTTTTTTTTTTTTTACGAATTGGTCAAACCCAAACTCAAACAAATCATTGTTTTCAATCGTTATGAGTCTACCGATTGAATAGAATTTTATTATAAACAATTGTCTTGTAAATGGAATTTTTAAAGCATTCTGAATGTAAAAATAAAGAAAAAAGTGTGCAAGACAATAAGAAACACTACCTGCCAAAAAAAAAGTGAAGTTTTGTTGAAATCGGTTGAAAAATGTAGGAAATCCGATCCCATATATAAACGAACATACAAACAACCTGAGTTTTATAATAAGTATAACTCGATATGAGTTGTCCCCCTTTCATTTTAGCAACAGAATCGTGTTTTATCGTGTTTTCAAATTGATTTCATGCAAAAACAATTGTGTTTTTTCAATTTTTGGTGCTGTCAGAACCACCGCAAGGTAATTTTACGGAGTCCTGTGAAGTTTTGTTGAAATCGGTTGAAAAATGTAGGAAATCCGATCCAATATATAAACGTACAGACACACACACACACACACACACACACACACACACACACACACACACACACACACACACACAAATCTGCGTTTTATAATAAGTAAGATTTTATACACACTGAAAGATACTGTCTCTTTTTTTAATTATTTTACCTCAAGGCAACAAAGCCACTAGGATACAAGGGGTTACTGAGTTTTAGAGAATATTAGAAAAATTACTATTAAGAAGACAATAAAAGAACAGGTTTTAAGAAGACAGAAGATAACGATTAGCATTGTATTTAAATTTTTGAAGATCAAACTTGACTGAGAAGCAAGAAACCTGAAGATATATCCACAAAGAAGTGCTTTTGAAGAAACTGTTAGCATATAACTTGTGATTATATCTGTGAATTTCCACTGTAAAACGATGATACATTGCTGCCAATCTAATACTACGCTAAACTTCATAAACTCTCGACAGCATAGAACAAATTCATCAGAATAATTTGGTGAAAGATATTTAATATGGGCTCTTTCTTTTGTATAATTATGGCTTCCAAAATTTTAAGTCTTCCTTCGTCGTGAGATCTATGATGCGGTGCTAATATTTGCATGAATTGCACTAAGTTTCAACAAGTGACACATTAATCTACGAGAAAGTGTAGTGCATAGTTGGTCAAAATAATAATTGCGTATTGCTGCAATCTCACAAAGGACTCACGAAATCGTAAACAAGATTGTATTTAGATGGTGGTGGTGATTTTTTCTTGTTTCAAGTTATTGGTAATAATTAGATCAAATGTTTTAGGCTTTTCATAGTAAATGTTACACCTACGGTATTTGTTGGGATTAATAGATAATTAATTTAATTTTTTAATGGATAATTAATTTAATTTTCTTGTTCTGGTCGACTAGCGTCGTGTATTTATTTATGATATTTCTAAAAGAAAATTCGTCTTGCTCATAGTTAATAAATAATATATATATATATATATATATATATATATATATATATATATATATATATATATTATATATATATTAAAGAAAAACAGACCACTTTAAGGTTCCATTATAATAATTTATTTCACCAGAGCCCTTTTAAAGGACGCCGGATCATCTTGGGACTACCCATACGGATTACCAAGTTTTTCATAACTTACTTTTTTATATATATATATATATATATATATATATATATATATATATATATATATATATATATGGCTTTTGTAGAAGATGTTAATGTTTTTATCTGTATGTTCACTATTGCTATTAATTACTTTAGAAAGAAATTGTCTAATCTGTTGGGCGCTGAGGTATTTAGAAAAAACATTGTTAACATGCGTTTGTTTTAAATTATTTCTTTAAGGAAAAAGGGACGAGAAGATGAATTCTCTTGTGCTCTCTTTAGGAAAATTTTTGTAACTTCTATTTTATATATAAGTGGCCATTCACTCTTAAAATAAAGATTGCCAGAATTTCTGCTAATGGGCTTTTGCATAATGATGTGGTGAATGCGTTATTACTGTATTCTATGAAAATGTCTAAGAATTGGTTTTATTTTTTGGACCTGTCGAAAGAATTCTGTATTAGTTTTTCAACAGGGTGATTCTTTTAATTTTCACATTTAAATTCTATTTTCTGCATCCCCTAACTGTACAGACACGAACACAGTCCACACTGGGGTCGATAAGACAAACGAATGATATCTTCGCCTGCCGAAATAGGTTATTCCCCATATGAGGTGATTTTGGATTTTATTGTTTATTAATTATATTGCTCTGTAAAAACAAATATATTGAGCTCCTTTTGGGAACCAGTTTTAATATTTTAGATTACTAGGATTCACTTGGATTATATATCAACGGATTTGTTACTTTTACTATATATATATATATATATATATATATATATATATATATATATATATATATATATATATACTCAACTCTCCCGTCGAATTCGACGTATGAGAGTCAAGCAGATCAGTTTCCAGGAAACTGACAGCCCGACAACGGCACATGAGATTCGATTATAGTGGTGAAGGCTTCGTGCAGGACCATCCACACTCTTTGAAGGGACGAACACAGAGACCTGGTGCACTACATGCTACAAGGTCCCCAAACGACCCTCCGCAGGTTTTGAGTTGTCCTTTTCCTAGACCAGTTGCCATCCAAGGCAGACTGGGGATATATATATATATATATATATATATATATATATATATATATATATATATATATATATATATATTTGAAAATCATTATATATAATAATTCTTAATTATTTAGTTTGCTTTGTTTTATGGCATATCAAACTCAATGGGTTATTTAATGAATTCATGATTTTTATTGCTGGTAATATTTTTTTTCCAAAAAATGTATTGCTGGTAATATTTTTCCCCAAAAAATGTAATAATTTCTCTTTCAAAAAATTTATTACTGGTGTTAAAATCTATTTTTACATTTTCATAGTACTTTAACCCCAGTATAGTGGTTAACTATTTCTCCGATAGTTGGGAGCCTAACAGGTGCTACCACCCGGGTTCAGGTGAACCTGGGAACACCAGCAATTAAGAAGTGGTTTCGCGTTCCTGAAAACGTCTTGATCAGAGGCCTTGCTGTTGGACGTAGTTTATCGTCTATCCCAGGACGCGGATGTAGTCTATCGTCATACCCTGTATGAATTTATACTGTTATATAGGTGGTTATCTAACTCTATTTTGTTAGTAAATGTTCTTTTGTGGGTGTGGGTGTTTGTCTGTGTTCACGCTCACGTGTGCACACATCAATGCGCGTGAGCGAATTGCAATTAACGCTAGAGGGCCTGACATAAAAAGGCTTACGTTTTTTGTAGAAAGTGCAGAAAACAGTTTTAACTTCGAATTTATTTTAAACTTAGAGCACTCCGCCCTAGAATTGAATCTAACAGGCGTGCTCGCTTCTAGGAAGAAGAATATTGACTGAAGATGATGGCGATGTTATCGTTTTGAGATAAGGGAAAAAAAGAAAAATTAGGATTACAAAAAGAAAGAAAGAATGAATAGGTGAAAGAAAGAAAGAAAGAAAGAAAGAAAGAAAGAAAGAAAGAAAGAAAGAAAGAACTGAGGAAGGGGAAAAGAGAAAAAAGAAAGAGAAATTTAATGAAAGAGAAAACATAAGAAAATGAATGTGAAGAAATAAAAAAAAGAAGGAAAATAATTCAAAGAAAAAAGAAAGAGAAAGAAAAACAGAAAGGAAAGAAAGAAACGATTGGGAAAGAAAAAATGAGGAAAAAATGGGAATGAAAGGAAAAGAACAAGAAAGAATAAAAACAAAGAAAAAAATTGAAAAACTGAAAACAAGCAGAAAGCAAAAAAGAAGGAAATAACTGAATGCCCCTCCCTTGTTACGTAGATCATAGTACTCCTATAGGAAATTCAATTCACGCTAAACGCCCTTCATTTTAGGCCGTGTGTCATACTCCAGTATTCTCTGTGTTGTTCTACTGCCTTTGATTTTTCAGCAAAATGAAATGAAGAATGTTTATTCAATCATTTTTAAAATATTATTTTCTTCTTTTGTTCCAGTTTTTTGCCCTGTTAATTTTGATTTACTGTTCTTCCTTGGCCCAAATCCCTCTACACACTCACTCACTCACTCACTCACTCACTCACTACCTACCTACCTACCTACCTATCTATCTATCTATCTATCTATCTATCTATCTATCTATCTCAGTCATATTCATATCTATCTATCTATCTATCTATCTATCTCAGTCATATTCATGTCTATCTATCTCATTCATATTCATATCTATCTATCTATCTATCTATCTATCTATCTATCTATCTCAGTCATATTCATATCTATCTATCTATCTATCTATCTATCTATATATATATATATCACTCTCACTCTCACTTTATTTTGTCTTCTGTATTTAACTTGTTTCTTCTTCCTTTAATTTCATTTTTCACAATCTTTTACGTTCCCCTTTCTTCATATCCCTATATCTTTCCTTTTCTTTTTATATTTTTTCTTTCACTTTTCATGTTATCTTTCTTTTGTCTTCTTTCCTGTTTCTTCTATATTTTGTTTCTCTTTCTTCTTACATCTCGTTTTCATTTTTCCTCCCTTCACTGTCTGCTCTTCTTCTTTCAATCTCTCTCTCTCTCACACACTTTCTCTCTCATCCTCACTTTCTCTCTCTCTCTTTCTATTACGTTTCTCTCTTATTTCCCCCAATCATTCTTGCTATTATTTCAATCTTTTTCTCTTGAATTTATTTTCTTTTCCCAACTCTCTCTCTCTCTCTCTCTCTCACACACTTTCTCTCTCATCCTCACTTTCTCTCTCTCTCTCTTTCTATTACGTTTCTCTCTTATTTCCCCCAATCATTCTTGCTATTATTTCAATCTTTTTCTCTTGAATTTATTTTCTTTTCCCAACTCCTCTCTCTCTCTCTCTCTCACACTTTCTCTCTCATCCTCCTTTTTCTCTCTCTCTCTTTCTATTACGTTTTCTCTTATTTCCCCAATCATTCTTGCTATTATTTCAATCTTTTTCTCTTGAATTTATTTTCTTTTCCCAACTCCTCTCTCTCTCTCTCTCTCTCTCTCTCTCTCTCTCATTGTCTGTCACCCTTTCTCATTTTCAAATCTTGCACTCGAGTTTTCCTTATTCACCCCTTCTCTCTCTTCCTCCCTCTCTCTACCTCTCTTCCCCCTATCACTCTCTCTGTCTATCCCTCTCCTTTTCCACGTTTTAACCCACTAATATGTTCTTTCAATCTTTCCCTCTCTATTATTTGGTCTCTTTCTCTATCTCTAAATGAATATTTCCTTTTTTTTCTCTCTCTCTCTTGACACAAATGGTTGGCTCTTTGTACCCCAGAAATACTTGCCTCTGTCTTCTATTCTTTATCCTTAAAAGACTTTGATCGAACCAAAAATGAAGTTCTGCTAGCACATCCCCTGGCGTAGCCCAACTCTCTCTTTTAGCCATGACAGAGTTCAAAAACTTTTAATGAATCATTTTCAAAACCTGCTGCCTACTCCCACAGACGAAATGTCAGAGACCCCTACTTCTATGGAAAATGTTCCAATGAGCTCCATTCTTTAATGCCACCAGCTCAGACCTTTGCGGACAAGACCCACCTTCCTACGACCACACGGTTGAATGATCCTCATTTCCAACGTGCTGCTTTGGTAAAAGGCGCACCACTCCAATTGCTTCCTCCGAAGAACTGCTATTTCGTGGACGATATTCGCACGTTGATGCGTAGTCGAACACTTAACCACTTTAAGTCAAAGATCAATGGATATCTACCCGCCATATTCTCAGAATCTTCCCTTCCTACTTTCTCCTCTTAAGTTCATATTAACGCTTTATTCAGTAACCAACTACTTTGAGTGATTCTTGTATTGGATGAAATTTTAGTTTTAAAAAAAAATTCTCGCTCAAACTTGTTTACCACGACAATACTTAGCTATCTCTCTCTATCTCTTTGTCTCTTTTTCTCTTTCTCTTTCTCTCTCTCTCTCTCTCTCTCTCTCTCTCTTCTCTTTTTGTCTCTCTCTGTTTCCCAATATTTTTCTTTTATTCTCTCTCTCTTTCATCTATACGTTCTCCTGGTTTGTCTTTAACTGTTTTTCTCATTTTCACTCTCTTCCTTTTACTCCATGTCTTTCTCTCCTTTTTCCCCAAACTCTCTCTCTCTCTCTCTCACTCTCTTTCTCTTTTTCTCTCTTGTTTTCTACAACTTCTTTACTCCTATACTCTTTCAATCTTTGTCTCTTCATGTCTCTCTTTCGTTTTTTTTTCCAATAATGTTAACTTTCTTTCCATTTCTCAATGACTTCATTTCTTTTACGCAAACCTTTTTTTCTCAATCTTTCTCTTTCTCTCTTTTACTCTAAACGTTTTTTACTTGTTTTTCTCAATACTTCTTCCTCTATCTCTCCCTCTGTTTGTTGCCGTCACCTCTTTTTCTCCGTCTCTCCTATTCTTTAAACGTTTTTACTTTTGTTTTTCCCAATACTTTTTCTCTCTCTACACACACACACACACACCCACACACACGCATATATATATATATATATATATATATATATATATTTATATATATATATATATATATATATATATATATATATATGTTTCTCTCTGTCCTTCTTTCTCCTCTTCTCTACTTTTTTTTTTTACTTTTGTTTTCCCAACATTTCTCTCTCTCTCTCTTTCTCACTCTGTGTCTGTGTCAGTCCATCTTTCTCTCCGTCTGTCCTTTTCTTTAAACGTATTATGCTTTTGTTTTCCGCAGTATCCCTCCCTCTGTGTGTGTGTGTGTGTGTGTGTGTGTGTGTGTGTGTGTGTGTGTGTGTGTGTTCCTATTTCGCGTCCATAGGATTACAAAAAGGAGGGCCACTCAGAAATAAGAAAGAAAGAAAGAAAGATAGAACACAAAAAAGGGGAAAAAGAAAAAAGAAAAAGAAATTGAATGAAAGACAAATCATGAAAAAATGAACGTGAAGGAATAAAAATGAAGGAAAATAAATCAATCTTTGTGACGTTCTATTGCTTTGGGATTTTCAGCAAAATGAAATGAAGAATGTTTGTTCGATCATTTTGTTTTCCCAATATTTTTCTCGTGATCTCTATCTATCTATCTATCTATCTATCTATCTATCTATATATATATATATATATATATATATATATATATATACATACATACATATTTATGCATACATGCATGCATATATATATATATATATATATATATATAATTTTTCTATCGTGTTTCCACGACGCTTCTCTTTCTCTACCCATGTCTCGCGTTCATTTTCCCCGAACGTTTTCTCACATTCTCTCTCTCCCCTTTTCTCATTTTTTTCCAAAAAAACATTCTCCTCGTTCTCTCCCTCTGTTTTTCTCTAAATGTTTTTCTCTCACTCCCTTTTTTTCTCTTCATTCCTATTCTCTGTGCATGTGTCTCTCTCTTTCTCCTCCTCCTTTTCTCTCGTGTTTTTCCGCAACTTTCTTTATTTCCATTTGTTTTTGTCTTCTCTCTTTTCTTGCAAGCTCCCTTCTTAGTTTTCACCATCTCGCCTCGACACACCCACACACGCCCTCCCCCTCCACACACACACAGAGCTAACTTTCTCACTCATTGTTTTTCCCGCCTCGTTCAATTCGCTGGCAAGGTGTAATCGTGTCGTTTTTTTTTTGTTTTGTTTTGTTTTGTTTTGTTTTTTTTTTACTTTGATTAACTAAACAAACTAACCTCGCTACATGTTGATTGGTCGGAGAAGGAAAGAAACGTTTAATTACCTGACCAATCACGATCTTTATAAATCATTCCCATCAATCAACTATATAGCTAATTAACAAAGTCCTAAGTAGGCGTATTTTTAACCCATTAAATCTCACTGCCCCATCTTGCGCATGCACACACACACACACACACACACACACACACACACACACACACACTGGATCACTGGTTTTCATTATTTTTTATTGTAATCATATATTCCCATCCATTTATTCGGTGCTATCATTAGCAATAAATTACGAGTTCTAAAAATATACATTTCCAAGAGGGAAAAGTCTGAAATGATTGTTTGCTGATGATATATCATTACCAAAAGTCTCAGTGGGATGCTTGTGTCCTCATAAGGAGTTGCCAATAACAGTAACATTTAATCATTACAAATCTTGTGGATTTCGGCGGGGAGGGGGGGGAAGAACGAACAATCGAATGTGCAATCGAATGAAAGAAGGAATCATGGGACTTAAGAAGAAATGTTTAGTTAGTGTCGAAGAAAAGAAGACCTGGAGAAAAATAATAATAAAATGACTGAAAATAGAGAAAATAACCATAAGACAAAAAAAAATGCAATTATAAAAAAAAAAAAAGTTAATACACGAAGAATGAGAGAATAATAAAATATGAAGGGAAATAAAAACGATAGAAATAAAATCTAAATATTAAATCAGCATTGTTATCAATCATATGTTGTGTAATCGATATTAGAAGTCGGAGAGCCAAGTTCGAATTCCTCTCGAGTTATTTACATTTACTTACAGGCAAATCACCTTGGGAAAGGTAGGAATTCAGCTACGGATTGAATAGCAGAACAGACTTGGCTCTAAGGTTTTCGTTGGCAACCAGTCTACCAGAGAAAGAAACGACAACCCTCAACCCTGCCGGAAAATCTATCTAGTCAGTCATGGAATCAAATAAGACATGATTGTCCAAGCGTGTATGAAGCATGGCACTTAACTGACTGACTGATCCTGAATTTATTTATAATTAATATTGTTTTCAACATTGAAGATTAACAATGACCCCCACACCTGTATTTTGCGTAACAATTCGATTTATTTTGATACTTCTTAAACGGTTTCTTTGAGAGATTTGGTTCTGAGATGAATTGGAATCAGAGAAATTGCCATAAAACAGTTCGAAAAATGTATTTTATATACAACATGTATTTTATATACAACATGTATTTGTCATGAGGCTGTAAGCAAACGAAGTAACATAGTAAATGAATGATTTTGGATCAAACCCAGAGTTTAACTAACGATGAACGTTTGCATTATCAAAAATTATAATGAGCAATCTAACAGAGAAGTATTGAGAGAACTTTTGTACCTAATCTCATGTACATCCTAACTCCCATTTTAAATTAGGCCTTAGGCGTGTGGATAAATTCCTTAATGAAATCGTATTTATTTGATTTCACAGTTCGAAATAATTGTAAGAGTATCGTTCATTTACACACATACACAAATTCCGAGCTTAATATGTTATATTAATTCCTTATTACTAAGGACACGCTCAAATCACCGTGCTGATAACAAATACGACGCCAGTTTGTTTACATTGCGCAAATCAGTACGAAAATTTCAGTGATTGCGTAGTTTAGTGTTGCCAACATTGCGTGAAAATTTTGTGTGAATTGATTGGACGGTTTTTGAAATATTAGAAAAAATGTTATCTCGATAATAATTTGGCACGCAGTGTATATATATAATGAACATTGAAGTCAACATTTAGAAGCGACAGGCTGTTTGATGCTAGATGCAATCGTCAGGCCTGGCAATTGCGTCTAGCATGAAACAGCCTGTCGCCTCTAAGAGTTAATGTTCACTTTTATATTTACACACGCTCTATCTCTGATACTGAGCACTTTATCCCATAAATATAGCACACCTTAAGAGTATATTTATTCATATATATATATATATATATATATATATATATATATATATATATATATATATGATTGTTTATCTATCTGACGGTCAATATCTATGTTTGTCCATATATTTCTGTCTTACCTCACTTTCTATTTCTATGACTGAAAACTTTAATCATGATCGAGACTGTCATATGGATGGCATGTATGGCACGCCAAATCCGTTTAAAATATCTAAACTCTCAGCTGGATACAACCGTTTCCTAAGATGAATCGTTAAAATGGCTTTCACCGAGTGAAGCCTGTGAAGCCGACAGGATTACAAACAAAGAACTATGCCAGATAACAGAAACGGCATCTTTTGAAGACTATCAACAGCAGCAACAAAGAAAATGCATAGCACATATAACATGAAATATATTATGAACTACTTAAAATAAAATGTTAGGAAGGAAACCCCTATCAATACTGGAAAAGGCGAAAAAAGCTCCTGTAATTGAGGCAGATTTGATAAATTTCCACCGCCGACAGCAACAGTAGCTCGGTCAATGTATACCGAATACGGCTAATATTACCATTTATTTGTGCCTATGTTATAGTTTTCTTAATGAAACCTGTCTCATGTGACAAATGCCACAAAAGGCTTTAATTCTGAAACTTGATCTTGAGGTTAGGTAGACAGGTCTGCTCTAATTTGATTTAGTGCAACTTTACACACCTAGCACCGAGCACACACACACACACACACACACATATATATATATATATATATATATATATATATATATATATATATATTAAAGATAGATGGAGGCAGCATAAGTGCTCTTTCAATAATATAAACAAAAGAAATCAGACTTCCCTATCTCAATATTTTTGGCATCTGAAGGAAACAAATAGGACACCTAAAGTTAAATGGAAAATTATAAACAAGGCTAGAACATGTAAAACTTGGGATGACCCATGCCCTTTATGCCTCCATGAGAAATTGCACATAATTAAACTTCTAAATAATAGTAATCTATTAAACAATAGACACGAGTTAACGGTTTTTTGTAGGCCTCATCAGATTTTGGGTTTGAATTATTAGCTAAAAACTAGCATACAATATAATAACTTGTTTAATCCATAGCCCACTCATCAGATTCATGGTTTGAATAATTAACCAAAAAACATGCATACAATATAATACCCTTCATAATTCATAGCCCAAATAAATAGTTTAAATACCCTAAAAAAAGATAACCCTTTATGAAGTCGTCAAAAAACAAAAGTTACGACTGTTTTTGTTTTTTTTTTGTTTTTTTTTATATGCACAAATCCCTTTCATAAAAAAATAAAATAAAAAAAATAAATAAATCTCCATAGACATGCAAACTAGACGAGGGTTAATACATCTTCCGTTTCAAATTTAGACACCCCCACCTTTACTGACTTGACATCTACGAAAGTAACTCTATACTCATACTTATTATTAACACCCAACACCCGCCTACCCAGCTTAAACAATTCGCCCTAGCTGTTACCATGGAAATTTTGATTTCAATTTTTAAAACACGTAAATTTCAGAAACACGTTATTCCAAAAAAAATTTCGCTTGAAGATGGAACAGAGCTTATTTTAACTCAATTTATTTTAAATAATGATATTGAAGTTTTCGGCTCTTGTTTTGAAACATGGGACTTCTTATGTCGCGATTTGGAATCATATTTTTAAATAAATAATATATATATATATATATATATATATATATATATCCCTTCCTTCGGAACATATCAATATATATATATATATATATATATATATATATATATATATATATATATATATATATATATATATACGATAAACGTGCAATCAATTTACAAATACATGAATTATTCACACAAAAACTAATGCAAAGGTTAATGATTTAAATGGCGAGACATCCATCATCGCAAACAATTCAAATAATATACAAAAACCTCCGTATCCGTTATGAATGAAATGATCCTTGTTTATATAAATTTCTGCCGTATTAGATCTTATTTTACTACAAGCTTTCGTCTGTTCCTACAGACATCTTCAGGTATAGAATAGATGTTGTTCTTGTTTTTCAATTTTTGAAGATTGTAATTTTCAGGGAAGCAAGTAAACGGAAAGGAATTCCACAGGCAAGACGTGCGAGAAAATAAAGTGTTTGAGCAGAAGTGGCGGTTAAATTTCAGCAGTAAAAGGGTTGGACATAGATGTCAATTTAATAGCACGCTTAAGCAAAAAAAGCTCGCCAGAGCATTTGCCATGAAAATATTTGTAGAAAAGACAGAGGGAAGCCATGTCACCTCGTTGAGAAATTCCACGAAGTCATGATGTCAAGTCAGGATCGATTACATTGCTGATCCTTCTTTGGACTTTGTCAACAACCTCTAGATGAACAGCAACAACACCAGACCAGATATGGCACAGACGAATGGTAGATTTGTAAATGTGTAAGATGGACTATCACGAGAAAATCCTTCTGTCACGCCACAGTGACCCAACTTTCCTTGCAGTAGATGCAGCTATTGATTCGATGTAATCATTCCACTTAACTTGAGGCCAGTAAGGCGTAGTAAGTTGCTATTCAGAGTTTCTTTGTGGTGGTTAAATGAGATCAGTTTCATTTTGGAGGCACTAAAATTTACAAGTCATCTCCTGTTCCAGTTAAACACTGATTGGAGATTCTTTTCAAGAACAGCGGCCACGTTAACTTTAACAGATTTTCTTTTGAGACATAAATGCCTACTTGCGAACTGAGGACGTCAGAAAGATCATTGATGATGATCAGAAATAGAGTAGGACCCAGGATAGAGTATTTGGGGACATCTATGTTCGTGTGAAACGATCAGGCATCGAACACGTTCAAAACTAAACGATTTGATAGGAATGATTGGATTAAATCAAACAATCATTTACTAATAACCCTGAAGCAACGTATCAAATCAGGTCAAACGCCTTCGATTTATATAGAGCCACAGCTCGAGCATCGTCGTTATTATCAAGAGCCTGATATACATATTCATTTATGGCCGTTATCATATCAGTATTAGACCTGGCAAAACTGAAGCCTTATTGTTTGTTAGAGAGTAGTTTGTGAGAGCTAAGATGCTTAACCACTTCTGCATTGATTAAAACCACGAATCCTTTGCTGAAAAGCAGTAGAATACTAATAGGGCGATAATTAGAGGTGTCAGAAGGTTCTCCGGAGTTCTTAAAAACTAAGACTACAGAGGAGAACAAGCAGGGAAGCTGGAAGCAGCGAGGCAATTGTTGTAGAGTTTGAAGAGAACAGGAACCAAGTTGGGACACATTTTTTTAGGATGACGCCTGGGATCCCGTCACCTCCGCTTGCGTTATGGAAGTCTAATTTAGAAATGATGTCTGAAATCAGTGACGGGGTAGACAATTTGTTCTAGTGGGGAAATCAGGTGTGGATACTCTAAATGAGTCAAGTGTTGAGTGGGAAGAGAATTTCTGGGCAACATATTCAACCTTATCTGCTGGAGATATGAGGACTTCGAATTGATTGAATAGAGGATAGTTTGAGGATTTTCTGTTGTGCAGCAACACTCTTGTAGAACCGCTGCTAATCTCTAGAACCGAATTTGTGAGATCCTATACATTGTTTCATTCTATCAGCAAAGAGCAACTTCGCTTTTTTGAGGACACGCTTGCACCTATTCCGAGCAGAGACAAAGAGACGTCTGTTGCAATCAGCCGGAAGAACTGATTCCTGTGGACTATAATGACCGAGCATG